GGAACAGAGGCCGACGTTAAATAAAGGAAAAAAGAAGAAGAAGTAATGCATCAAATTTCTCAAGCAACGCCGGGTGTGTAATAAACATCAAACTGACCAACATTAGGCGCTGTTTAACTTATGATGCTTGCACGGCACAAGGAGAAAGGATTAAATTGAAGAGGCTGAATCCAAATAGTGGCGGTGACACGTCCAAATATCGACTATCTGTTAGTCTTGTAAAATGTTATTCAAATCGAGCAGACAACCTGTCAAATGGATGGCATATCGCCTCTTTACCAAATTCAGTTTCTTTAGTTTAAATGATTCCTCCTGTTGGGGAGTACCCCATTTGGCATAATGCCGATTTCACATAACGACGTTTGGCATAATACCAATTTGGCATATCGGCACTATATCGAGACTTGCCTGGTAATTCAGAACGAGAGAGAGAGAGAGAGTCACTTTTACTCAGATGAAAGATAAATTTCCAAAACGTAATCGCGCTGAGTGACCTGCGTTTTTAGAACCATCCTGATTTGTCATAAAAACAACCCCTCTCGTCCCTCCCTCTCGCTCATCACTTTCAAAATTGGAAGAAAATACCTATCTTGATAAATCCTGATTTTTAATCACTAGTTCCTGATATTTCCAAAAAAAAATACGTGGCAACCATGCTTCTAACCCTGTTGTTAAGAAGTGGAGAAAGTTTGCATATAATCAAATATATTATATTAACAATATGATACACTCTTTCGCTTAGCTGGCGAACCGAATTTTTAGCGATGAAAGCACCATTGTATTTTTTATCGTCACGAGGGGTAAACCAAATGAAAATTTGTTTAATATTTCAAATGAATGTATTTCAGCATATTATTTTATTTGATGACAACAGTGACATGTCAGACAAATTTTAAAGTAATATACACAATGTAATTAATGAAAATAATTTGACTCTTGCTTTTGTAATAAGTCCTATATTCGCACTCCTCGATTGTAATTGAATGATTGTTGCTGACCTTTTTCAACGCTAGATGGTGCGTGAAGCAATATTTTGTGGGTCGCCATTGCAACATTTGGAAAAGGCATAAATGGATCCGATAATGGATCATATTGTTAATATGATATATTTGATATAATTTCATGTGTGTGTCACGGATAAATGGAGTATGGATTGTTTTTGGGAGTTGAGAAAGAAAACTACAAGAGGTAGGTATTTTTTAAACTTCGGATAGATTTTAGAACTAACGAAAGTCATACTCAGCATCATAACAGATCAGTGCACGGTAAGATTTAACCTCACTTTGTTGACAGTTCATGGAGCTTGTTAACAACACTAATAGAATTCCACACATTTCTATTGACGAATTTCCATGTAAAATTCCACATGATTTTCATGTGATCACACATAAACAGAATCCATCCAGAAACACACATGAAATTCATGAGTCAAATAAATAGTATGTGTTGTTGCACATGGCTTTTATGTGTACACATATTAAGTATGTGTCCGACACATAGATATCATTTGTTGATCACATTGCCAAAAATCATGTGTGGGACACATAAAAACAATCTTTGAAATTTTATCAGTGAAGGTGTCAGAATTTGAAACTAAAAAAAGTGAAATTCGCGTTGTCGGTTTTCAGAATATGTTCCAAACGATTTTATAGCTCTTGTTAAATTCACGCTAGTCGATATACTCAGGCGGTAACACTTCAATCAAAGATCGTTCGTTCTGATCTGATCGTTTTGAGAGCATCCAATAATCATACACTAAGAAAATTCCAAAGATTGTTTTTATGTGTCTCACACATGAATTTTTGCAATGTGATCAACAAATGATATCTAAGTGTCGGACACATACCTAATATGTGTATACATAAAATCCATCCCTAATAAACAAATACCATAAACGAACTGTATCCCGGATGGGTAAACCATCCCACAAATGGTTTGGATGATACCCCGAACACGTCGTTAAGCTCTCTTTTATGCTTATATTTATTAGGGATGTGTGACCACACATACTATTCATTTGACTCATAAATTTCATGTGTTCTTCTGAGTTGATTCTGTATATGTGTGGCCACATGAAATCATGTGGAATCTCACATGGAAACTCGTCAATAAAAATGTGTGGAATTTTGTGAGTGTAGCGATGCCACCGACAAAAGGTTAAGTCCATGTGTACAACGGAAACTTGCATATGTGTTGATGACGTCATCGTGCAATGATCTATCAATCGGGTGTTTAACAAGTCCATTCGAAAATGTTTTGCATCAGCTGCAATTATAAGAAATACTCGAATTCCATTTTGGTGGATTCTAGCTATGTTTGAGTAGTTTTATAATAGCGTGAGTACAAAAACTACAGTATCTCCCGATAATCCGGCTCATCTTAATCCGACAACTCGATAATCCGACATCACGGTCTCTTACACGCTAACTTGAAAGTACCCATTAATGGTTAAAAAAGACTCATCTTGAAGAAAAGTGGCTTAAATTATTTCATGAGTAAATTATTTACTCATTAATGGGTAGCCAGTATTCAAAATGGGTATTTTTTACCCATTAATCGGTACTTTCAAGTTAGCGTGTAAGCAGCTTTATTTACATTGTTAGGTTGGTAACATTGATTTGTATGAATTTGACAGTCGGATTATCAGATCACTCCGCTAATCCAGAGTTAATGTTATAATAAGAGCACAGACAAACAGACATAACACATTGAATATTTCTCACTGTAAAACATCGTTGCTAAAACATTACCGCTATCTGTTGAGTACACTGTGGTGTGTAAACGTCAAACTCTAGGGAAATGACTATGCGCGCCACAGGTGGCGGTACTACCAACTACGATACTTTTAAATTGACCGTTAAATGCTTGTTCGATGAACAACTTGCGAGTTATATGTCTGTTTGTCTGTGATAAGAGTCCCGCCAAGAGTGAAGCCAGAAGCGAGGCCAGAAGTACCAATCGAACTGTCAAGTGGGGTATCAAACATCAAACAAGCAAAGTAAATAAACATTATTGTTCCACAGCCAGCATTCATTACTGACAATATTTTAGTAATTTTAGATGAAAAATATTACTTCGCTTTATTTAGTACTTGTTTGAGCATTTTTCAGGTTCTATAATTGTTTTTGTCTCCCAGAAGCTCCATTATCGACATGACATTTTTCACTTCTGAATGAAAGTTATCCGATGCTAATGCAAAAAATCTGGTTGCCGTTTGCTCTAACGAAAAATAAATCACAAACAGTGCTGATTGTTCGCAATATTTTCTCGATTCTTATTATAACATCGACTTTGTGCTAATCCGGCCACAAATTAGTACTGGATAGTATAAAACATTAATTCAAAACAACCCAAATTAGGAACTGAACCTACTCAAAAAATTATAAACTATATTGGGAGTTATCAAGTTGACAAATGGACAACGTTGACCTGAATCAATAGAGCTAATAACTATATGCCTTTGAAACTAAGCGATCGTCTGTCTGGCGTCAGGAGCACGTCAAAAAGAGTGTTGTGAGCAAAATTTTTTGCCGTGAGACTTTTTAACGTGATTCATCTGAGATGCCCAAAACTTCTACAGTTGAAAAATCTAATTCTATATCGTTTTCGCGAGGATCCTGCTTGGGTTCAGCAATATTTTTGTTGAGAAAAATGGAAAATTAGAATAGTAACTTATAGTACGTTCAGACTACAGAGTTATAACATGTTATAGCGCTATCTTGATGGTGGTTTCTGTGTTGCAATTAGTTGACAACCGTTATAACATGTTATAACTGCTCAGTCTGGACAGCGCTTTATAGTACGTTCAGACTACAGAGTTATAACATGTTATAGCGCTATCTTGATGGTGGTTTCTGTGTTGCAATTATTTGACAACCGTTATAACATGTTATAACTCTCCAGTCTGGACAGCGTTTTAGTGGTTATGATCTTCCGGATTTCTTGTGTGTGAATAGTTGAGGTACAAATCAGTTCAGATCTGTGGAAAATCGTAAAATAAGACAATTGCCGATAGAAACTGGCAAGTTATTCAATGAAAAATGCTTTAGTTTGCGGTGCGAGAAATTCTTATTCTGATGTAAACAAATGGTTTCGTTGACGTTTGCATTCGAAGTCACCAGGGCATCCTCTCCATTGGTGGTGCATTGGAAAAGCCTATTGAAAGCAAGTAAAAGGTGTTTCAACAGCGACGGTAGGCAGCGCTATTCTTTCTCTATATTTTACTAGCTCTATTTCTGAATCCGATCGATGTTGTTCATTAGTCAACTTGTAACTCCCAACTTTAGCGTGCCCATTTTTCGGTAGGTTTAGTTTTGACCGATCTGGGTGGATTCTACCCAAATTATAGTAGTTTTGAAAAGCGTATTGACAAAGGGCGCATGTTAATAGTGGCTTCACCATATTGACATTCGCCCTTTAGTCGACATCGCATGGTATACCCCTCGTTAAGACAACTTATCCACCTTTGATACACCATCGTTTTGTTGTTGTAAATTACCCCCCGTTCGAACAAGACAACCTGCGACAGATCGAAAAAAAAACTATGGTATTTGGGTTACGACTAGCGGTGACGTTCTTTCGGCTGTCGGTAATTCAGTCCGAACCCTAAAAGTGCCGACAGTGAGGGGTTCAGCATTAAACCGAAATTGCGCTACACCGTTATTTTAGTTTATCATGCATTTTTAAATGATTTTTTTATATGCGTTATTGTTATTCCTTTTTTTTACTTTCAGGGTTCCAGATGCATCGTTTGAAAACATTTAATCCGCGTAATATACTTCTTCAACGTTTAATTTAAGGATAGTGTGTAGTTGTCAAATATATATTGTACCAAGTAGGAAATACTTGAAATATTGCATTAAAAAATACACATGATTTGTAGTTTGTAAATACGATAATGATTTTTCTTCATATTCAAAACTGTTATGTTTTATTTGAGAACATCATATGAATCTAAATAGTAAGTTTGAAAATTGGAAAATAAAAATAATATAGTAATGTAAACTGTAATAACATGAAAACCTTTATTCAGTTATCAATAAAAGCATAGATTAAAAATGTGAACAAGCTTCATATGTATTCCCATTCACATTGGCTAGATGACAGCACCATGGGTAGCCCCGTATCCTCAAATCGAGGGAAACTCGTCTGCGTACCGGGTTTTTGAACTGAAAGCGCGGCTACTAGGTTTGCAGCCGCAATGCAGTGGGTCATCTCGGCGGAAGGATCGGTTGCGATGAAATGTGCCAGTGCTCCAATGAAGGCATCGCCGGCTCCCTGGGGGTGAGAAATAGACAACATGTTTTATGCCAAGGAGGTCGTATGGGACTCCACACTAATCTACCGTCGTGTCCACCACTTTATCAACTTTGTGTGGTTTCACGTGCACAACTTTTGCACAATCCTTCAAGCCAAAAATTGCCCCTTTCTCCCCAAGAGTGATGATGATCGTTCCACAACCCATGTCACGGAGTTTGAATAGAGCCGATTTTGCTTGCCTGAAAATCATAGTTTCCATTAAGAAGACATCTCTCAAAGGTATTCCAATTCCATACATAACCGTCTCAACTGCCATCCCGGTTATGAGCGCCGTTTCGGATTCGTTTACACAAAATATAGAGCAACATTTGAGCAGATCTAGCGGAATATTTTCCAAGCCCGGAGCGGCGTTCATGATTGATGTACCGTTAAAGGTCTTCAACGCCTCAATCGTGGCTTGGGCTGGAGTTTCCAGTTGACAAATCAAAACCTTCGCATTGTTAAGTACATTAGCACTTGCCCGAACATCATCCTGGTGTAGACTATTGTTTGCACCCACGACAATCACTATCTGATTATCCCCGTTATTGGCAACATTGATTTGCGCTATTCCGGTACTCTGACCGTCCAGTATGGTAACATGATCCACATTGACACCCTCCGACTGCAGAGCATTGAAGTAATTTTTACCCCATGGATCGTTTCCCAACTTTCCTACCATTGCCGTCCGGCTGCCAAGTCGTGCCGCCGCGACACATTGATTTGCCCCTTTGCCTCCGAAACCAGTTGCAAATTTGGTCCCGTGCAGTGTCTCACCCACCTTCGGCAATCGTGGAACATAGCTATATACATTCGATACAGTTCAATTTTCAATTAACTGACCATCATTAATTTGCTCACTTATCGCACCTAATTTACCTTATAAAGTCCACGATTAATGATCCAAATACGACCACATCAAATTGCTCGGACATTCTTTATTCGATAATGTCAGAAATTTCGAACAATTCCTTCACAAATTTCACACTGCAGCAAGTGTTATTCACCTTTTTTATCACTATGGATTTCAGTGCAAATTTAATCTTAATCAATGTACAGCGTGAGCAAGCAATGACGCAGTCGTTCTGATAAGAAGAGTTTGGGGCTAGCGCTCCGCTGTTTGTCTGTAGGTACACAAAGCTCCACCTTCGACTGAACCCTCCTGTTCTCTCTTTTTAGACTAAACAAATCCATGCCAACATAAATAACATACGCATCACGGTGAAAACTCCATTATAGGGCATTTGGTTAGTGAGTTGTCTTTCTTTCATGTAGTCACAAATTGGATACATTTATTAGAAGTAAAACGTTTAATTAAGAATTAACAATTTGGATAATGACATAAAAGCACTCAATCAATAAATAATTTCAACCAGGTTGACTACAGAAAAAAAGCATCAATATCAAATGATGACGATGATCATGATGATGCGTCAGATTAAAAGTGTGGTGATTGAAAATTGCGAAAATCACTCATGTCGAAGATATGTTAAGTCGTCGTCAATGTTGTCGGCATAACAAGAGAGCCATTTTTCGTATGCGCTCTGTAAAAACAATTAAACTATTTAAAGTTAATATGTTGCTATTTATTATGCATTGATCTTGACGTCTTTTTATTGTTTTTTTTTATAAGTATATTCACTATTCTCATTTGATTTGTTTGCTGAAAAACATTCCCCGGGATCTTTCTTGATATTCATGAAATTGTTGTATGGAATTATTTAAGTTTTTATTAATTTCCAGAGACAATGTGTGAATAATGTTGAAACATTTTTCGTGCATTTGGAAGATTGTCTTTTCCAAACATTGCATGCGGAAATACCTCCTGTAAAACCAATAATTGATGTTAATTTGGCAAATCCAATTTGGAGATATTTACTAAGTTTACTGAGCATTTAAACTACCCTCACATATAAGCGCCCAAATACTCCAATAAGAAATTATTTCCGAATCTAGTTTCCGTGCTAGATTAACGTACAAGGATATAAAACAGCAAAAAATGGTTATCTTCCATTTAATTCCACTTGATTAGTTTTGGTATCCATGTAAGATACCTACGTATTTCGATTACAATGTGCAGTCTTCATCAGTGTCATTCCCTCGGTCATTCCCACTAAAGACTAAAAACTCAAAATCTAATCCCTTAATACCCCGGACAGACTATGGCTTATATCAAGAGCAAATTTTCATTATGTCGTAAGTAACATTCGCACCAATCCGAGAAAAATAAAGTTTTGTTTTGATGACCGAAAAGTTATTCCTATTTTCAAGTAAACACATATAATCTCATAGTGATAGCAATGTTTAACATATTTAGCAGGGTTTTAATCATACAAATGCAAATCGCTAGCTTTCATGCTAAAAAATACTGGTTTTTGAGTAAAAAGTTATTATACGTCGTTTGGTGGCCCCTATTGTTACTTAAGTCAAAGTGTATTTACCAGGATATTCGGGAGAATTATCAATTACGTCTCCTTACGTGCAGCCCATTCATCATTTTAGGACCACCGAAATCATCTTAGCAACAAACAGTTCGATTTATTCACTTTAATAATGGGAAAGCGAAACGACGAAAGCACACTTTTCACGGGTTTCTCAGCGCTGTTACTTAAGTCAAACGGCATCTCCATAGAAATTGGGTGACTTAAGTAACATCGAAAACTATTTTGATCGGAAGGTGATTACGTCAAAAAGCAATTTGACTGGTAAATAAATTTAAAAATGGGATTTGATCCTATATTCGGACAGTATATATACCTTACCTCTATGGTATAAGGCTGTGAACCATTTGCCGAGTTAAATTTAACTCGTAGTTAAAAGTGACATTTCGAAAGTTATTTCTTATCTAGTTTCTTATGTTCGAAAATCCCCGTGCTGTCGATCAACCGGTTTTCGAGCCACGGTCGTCAAAATTTAACTTCTTGTCTGTCAGAAATAACCACGCTCGGATAGCAGGGTTAATCGATAACTTTCCATCTGTCAAATTTTAACCAAAAGTTAAAATAATCCACCAAATGGTTCAGAGCCTAAGTACTCATCCCCTAGGTAAAAATGCCAAACGGTCTTTATCGGGCTATTAACGGGCTTGGCGGTTACTTTGGAAGTGAAATTCTAAACTCTTCATAAACCTTTACCTTTTTTGCACAGACTCATATAATGGGGTTGGAGTTATGAATTAAACTGAAGGATGGTAATGTTGTAATTTTGAAAGATTGAGTTTTTGTTTGCGAGAAACCGACGATAGAAAAGGTGAACTGCGGATAATCAAGTCCGACCTGTAATGTGTTAGGGGTGAATGAAGTTAATTCGGTTAAATCACCTGAACAATATTTAATAAAGTTCACAAGCTGGACATCGCATTAGGTCCTAAGTAACATTGACAGATTCTCTTCGTCGACTTTCTCTTGGTATCCCCATGGTCATGTAAAGATGCCTTTACATGACCATGGGGATCAGGTATTATCAGCACACAGATCGACAAAAGAATCTTTTATCTAACATCTAATACGACAAACACAACAAGAAACGGTTATGAGCTCAAGGCTGTTCATTAACTACGTAGACAGTTTTTAAGGATTCCTGACACCCCCCCTCCCCCTGCGTAGACAATTGTCCATACAATTTTTAATTTGAATGGGCCGTGGATAATTGCCAAGCCCTAAACTGCCTACGTACTTTATGGACGGCCGAAAGAGAAAGTCGATAAAATTTTACCGAGTTTTTGAACAGTTGAAAAAAAAATCAGTAAATTCAAATGAAATCACAGACAAACAGACATAACACATTGAATGTTTTTCAATATAAAACATCGTCGCTAAAACACTTCCGCCATCTGTTGAGTATACTGTGGTGGGCAGTACGCTGAACAGATGGCGGTATAAACGTCAAACGCAAGGGAATAGACTATGTCAGAGTCAATGTTATTAAAAGAGTCCCGCCAAGAGTGAAGCCAGAAGTACCAATCTGAAGCTGTGCTGAGGCTGTGTTCCATTTGGTGAATTTTTACTTATATGTTACAGATGGAAAATTTTAAAATAAACCTGCTACCCCAGCAGACTTATTTCTGACCGACAAGGAATAAATTTTGACAGACGCTTTCTTGAGAATCGGCCGATCAACAACAGAGGGATTTTCGAACATCTTAATTTATTTTCGAAGAGTCAAATCTAAGTGAAAATTTTCCAAATGAAACACAGCCTGATTGTTTGCAACCAGAGGTGGCAACAGTACATTTTTTGAAAAACCATCGTCCAGAGCGAAACAAAACAGCCAGCACACGGGCGACCGTGTATAACTACATTCCAAGCGAACAGCGGAGATAGAGAATAAATAAAATCTCGCAGCCTGATTTTTCCAAACAGTTTATTGTAATGAAATTTTAGCTGCAGGCTTGCGTGTGACAGTAAATTACCAACTCCCTAATTTATGCATAATTTTAACATCAATGCTTATGAGTGGTTAGTCTTCATTCTTATCTTTTAATTCCATGCAATCAACATCAAATAAATGCAGTAATTAGCCAGAAATCAGCAAAATTCTACACGACATAAATTTATGTCGCGCGCGCCGCCGGTCTTGTCTGCTTCTTTGTGCGAAAATGTTCTGTCGCTGGCAGAAAACAGTTTAGAAATGTCATGACATTTTTGCCGCTTGCCAGTTTGTTTTTGTGTGTCGTCACAATGGTTATCGCAAAATGTATCAAATGTTATGGAAAAAATGTTAAACTCCAGGACTCGTGTCACCACTGCGAAGCAATTTTTTTTCTGTTATTTCACATAACTCGAAAACAGTAGGCTGTGAAGTTTTAACGTATTAAGAAAAGTTGTTTATTTTATCAAGATAACCAACTTTGACAAAGTCGTGAAGTCTTCGAAACACAAATTCAATACATTAAAAAAAGTTATAGAAAAAAAAAACATGTTCCACTAAAATGAAGAAATCTACAAAACACCAAAATATACCTCTCTCAAATTTTGATATTTTGTTTATCGAGTATTGCTTAATTTTTGCTGAAAATGTCAAAATTGTGTTTTTTTTCTCGTTTTTTCAACAATGTCTTTGAAATTTGAAGCTTAATCCAGTATGTTTCTTCACAAAAGCTATTTATTTAATGTATTTTCATAAGAGAAAAATATAACATTATAAAGCTGTAAGCAGAAAAACCGAAACAGAAAAAAACCATATTTTCGAGATTTTTTTCTTTAACTCCATATAACTTGGAACCAGTAGACTGTGGAAATTTTGCGTCTTTGAAAGACCTGTTCATTTTGTCAAGATAAACAACTTTGCCCAAGACATCAAGTTTCCAAAACGTCAGAGAAAGAAGTTAGATTGTGACACCATCTTTGCGGAAGAGTTTTGAACTATTTGTTTATGTCAATAGATGGTCCTTATTATGACGAGAAATTTTGCCGAAGACACCAAGTCGCGGAAATGCTTCGTTTCGGAGTTATTAATTTTGCTCCGCTAGGTTGCATTCCTGACCCAGTATGCAATGTAAGCATTAGACATTTTAAGAAATTGCAACATTTCCTCATGGCGGGATTCTTACACTGATAAAATTCAACACATTTTTAATGGCGAATTTCCATGTAAAATTCCACATGATTTTCATGTGTCCACACATAAACAGAATCCACTCAGAAGCGAGCTCAGAAGTACACATGAAATTTACGAGTCAAATGAATGGTATGTGTGGTTACACATGAATTGTATGTGTGCACATAAGAACTATGTGTCCGAAACATATATATCATTTTTTTATCACATTGCAAAAATTCATGTGTGGGACACATAAAAATAATCATTGAATTTTTATTAGTGTATTATATCATCGACTCTGGTACTACCAACTATTAACATTTATATTGATCGTTAAATGCGTGTTCGATGAACAACTTGCGATTGTTGTGTCTGTTTATCTGTGCTTTAATTTTTGTAATTAAATGGATATACCAATACGAAACTATCGATATATGTCCCAAGAAAATAGATTAACGTACTCC